TTTAATAAGAGTTAATAATGTTTTTGGTTAAATTCAAAGGACTTTTTAATTGAACAACAAGAAAATTTATTGCATCCTTACAAAATACTAGTAAGGCCTCATTTGATATTCAACTTTTTATTAAAAACATTCTAGAACAAAATCAAGAAATGTTTTTGTATAAAACTTCCTTTATGGACACATTCATCCAACATAATGAGACTGATTTTCATATTTGATGTTTTCATAAGAAAGTCTATGCTGAAATGAATACTAATTTTAGAATTTTCTTTTCTATATTTTCCAACCTAACTGAACTTATTATGTTAATTCCTGAATTTTTCAAATGCACTGAATTCCACTAACTTCCAGAGCCTTTCGTCTAACCAGTCCATCATCTTTATAAGATCAGAAAATATTAAACAAATAAAAGGCTTTCCTCCGACCTATGGCAGCAAAAACATTCAAGATACACTTCAGACGTGACAAACTATTCCAATGTCTGAAAATTGTGAACGATATTTATATATTTAGTTCTTTCATACTTTAGTGATGAATTATTCATTTTAAAAAACAAAAACTGTTCAACTTTTATACAATCTTTACACAAATTACAATTAAATATTTTTGAAAGTCAATTCAAACTTCCTAACCTTATTTTGCTACAAGAATATCAATTCCTAAACTACTAAGAGCACTAGTTGTTTATATACTTGTTCTTCCTGCTCAAATGGTTATGTCAGCTTCATCACTAGATAGTTTCAAGAAGCAGCTAATAATCATGTAGCATTTCAAACTTAAAATTTATAAGTTTTTACATATGTGCAAAGTGACAATTGGAAAAGAATATTTTGAAATTTTTTGGGAGGATTCCACTGAGCAAAGCTTATACATTAATGAATCTCTTGCATTCAATACATTATGCCAAACCATAGAGCTGGGCAATTAGTGGGCTACATAACAGACCATCTGTGCTCTGTGCAATTTTAGCTTTATAAGTTGTTGTTTTTACTTCAAGTTTATTTAGCTTTACTGATTTGGAGGGGGGGATGGGTGTGTAATTCAAGAGTCTTGGGTTCAATTTCTATTGCCACCAAAATTTGCTTGCTCTGTTTTTTATTGTGACTAGTCAATTAAATCTGTCTCCTACTGTCATTAATTTTGAACTGTTGATTATAGAGAAGGCAACTGGCTAGAGCACTCACTGTCAACCTTTTTCTCTATGCATATGTACCATAATTTGAGGAACACTTTACTAATTGGTTAATCAAATGTAATTGATTAATGGCACCATTGGATAATTGATTAGCAAATATTTTGATAGTTGGAATAATCAAATTGTAATGTCTGTAAACCATAATATTATTTTATAAGAATTGATTTAATTGTGATTTTGGTTAATCAACTGTTGGAATAATCGGAAACACAAATTTTGCTTAGTTGCTTATTTTCACGATAGTCAATTTAACCATAATTTCAATTAATTGATTGTTGGAATAATCAAAAACAGTAGTAATCAAAACCACCAATTTCAATTAATCGACTAGTTTATAAGTAATTGGTTATATCAATGAATCAATTACATTGCCTCGCTCTACCTAACTATTAATATGTAGAAGTTTTCCTATAACATTTTGCTCAGATTAGAAATAAATGTTTCAATAATTCTAATTAAGCTATGTTAACAGTAATACATTCATGTTTACAAAATGGAGGTAACTTAATCATTTCTTCTGATAATGAATAAATGAGTAAGGTTCAAACTTTTCATTGTGCTGTTACTGTGAACTTCTTTGTGATGTTGCACATTTTGTTGGAGGTCTGGAGGAAAACTTATATGAAAACTTTGCGAAACTAGTATTGAGTATTTTAAACTACAATAATGTTGCTCAGATCTTTACAAACAACTGAATAAGTATAATCATGTAATCAACAACTGCAAATCAAATGTGAAATGCATATGTACTTCTTCACTGTTTTGTGAACCACAAAATACAACACAAATATAAAAAAACACACATTTTTATGCCAAGAATAAGTTTTTTGGCATTAAGGCAGCCTTCAGATTTTTTTTATGGACAGGGTCTTCAATTTCTGGATTTATATTTCTCCTGGACAATTGAAAAACTAAGGTTGAGTCAAAATGCTACATCCTTTAAATTTATAGTATAATTATAAATTAATTAATTAATCATTTTATAGTAAATTTAATGTTCAACTTTAGGTTCTGATCACATAATTCAATTAACTAATGAAAAATATGCATACCATAAAATTGATATACATAAAACTAAAACTAGATCCAAATCCTAATTCAGTAATTGTAATATTTGCAAGTTGAATTACACCATTCTCAAAAGTTACCTAACACTATAATGATATAACTTTAGATCAGTGGATTGTACGTAAAGTTAGACGTCGTATTATATTTATACTTTATAGTACACTACTAGTACTAGTAGCCTCATGATGTAAAGCCAATGGTACTACTCAAGATTAGTTGGTATTTTCCAGCCTACTCAATTTTACAAGAAGTTTAATGTAAACTAAATTTAAGCACTTTAGAAAATAATAAGCAAGCTTACTCACCGCTTACTAATCCAGATTATTATAGTTATCGGCACTGGATATAGCATACAATTTACAATACAGCCTATAGGTGTGGTTGATATATATTTATATTGTCAATTACTGAACTAGTTATACTTATATTTATAACTTAAGTTATGGGTAAGTTTTAGAAATTAGAATTACTCAATTAGCTTTAAATGAGGCAACATATAAACTAGAAATTTTACTAATACGAGTAATTGTAGTATTAATCACACATACTCCTATTGTAAATGAGAAACAAAGTATAATCTACAAACCGCTTTATTTTTATGCTTCAATCACTTAAAAACAATTTAACTTAGCCTTCGTAAATTACTGATAGTAATACTTAGGTTTAGCAAGAAGCACTAGCGCCATCTGTAGTAGCGTGTTCTCGCGTGAATCGATAGATTTGGTGAGATTATTCAATACTGCAGTGTGGACTGTAGAGAGTAAATGTGGTTTAGCTGGAAAACTGGAAGCAAGAGGTAAATGTTAATCATAATCTTTGAAACATTATAACTTGCGTAGTTCTCATAATGAATTAATTTTCTTATGCTACAACTGTATAGCAAAAAGATTATTTATCGTGTTTTAAATGAAATTGTGTGTGTAGTACACTACATACAATTACAAGTCAGATATGAATTTTAAAATATCCTAAGACTTAAGTTAATAAGGTTAACACATTTAATTCAGTATAACTATAAATTAAAACTGCTTCACTTTTATGTTATATAACTTAGAAAGAGTAAGTGTTGAAATGTAGCTTACACTAACGTACATTACACAGAAGAATATTATTCTAATATAAAATTCGCACTAATAGTAATAATGTTTTATTGAATATGAAACTGTTGTAACTTGTAATTTACCACTGACATTACTCGTTAGCCTGTTTTAGTGTTTACAAATACAAGTACTGAGTGTTAGTGTTATTATTTTGTTGTCAGCAAATGTATGTTAGTTATTAAACGTCATGTCATGGGGTTGTTTGAAGAAGGAAACTAGTTTTACTTTTAGATATTGTGTTGAGTGTTTGTTAACCAACTTGATTTTAATAAATAACATTCTATTAATTGTATTATGGGAGGTTTTAACTGTAAAAATGTTAACTAGGATTGCATGGAGTCAGATGGTGAAGGCGATAGTTTTAGAATTAACATAGGACAATCTTCTCTATTAACCAAAGATTACACTATTTTGAACTTAATATTATAAGTAACTACTGATGAGGATATCATTCAGAAGGTTGAGATAGGGAAATGTTTGGAAACCAGGGATTGTTGTGTAATTAGTTTAAGGTTTTATTCTAAATTAAGATCAAAGTTAATACTATTTTATTTTGGAATCTTGTAGCAGCTAACTTTGATACTATAGGAATTATCTTTGGTTAATTTGTAAGAGACTTGATTGGAAATGCTTGTCTGAAGTGGGAAATGGCTACTCTTGGGACAGTTTACTGCAAATATAAGGCTTGTATGTTCAGGTTAGAAAAAAAACAATAATTAAATCCAGACTTAGCCCATGAAGCTTACAAAGAAAATTAAATGTAAATTTAATGAGAAGTATTAAAAATTCAGAATATTCAAACAGCCTGCTAGAAAGGAAGCCTTAGAGACATATAAAAGTAATAGAAAACTAATAACTAGTTAAATAAACATTAAGATATTATAAAGGGCATATGAAAAACATTGGAAAAAATTGGTAATGCTCAGTAACAGTAAAGACTTTTGAAGTTTAACTTAAGTTTGTTAAAGGAAAACAGAATATTAGAATGAGAGTTGAGCCTTTAAAAACCATAACAGCTAGATACCCAGCAGCCAGGAATGATCTTTTAAGTACTAAATACCCAGCAATCCAAAAATGTGAATATTGATAAGTCCCAACATCAATAACAATAATGATAATTTCAAATTATGGACTGCTGGGTATCTAGTATTTCAAAGATTGTTCATGGCAGCTTCTAGCAAATGCCTACACCGGGTGACACTAATCAAGAATGACTATCGATATTTATTTTTCAAGAGCAAAAGTTTTATTCAGGTCATTTCATTGAGCTTGAAGACAAATCAGCCTCGTTATTTACTATTACTCATTCTCTAAGTTAAGTGAGAGGTGATCATAGTCAACAGTTTTCAAATTTTTACACTGCCAGGTATTTAGTATTTGAAAGTTCATTCCTGGTTGCCAGACATCTAGCCACTGTGTTAAAAAATTAAAGTAGTTGATGATTATGAAATGGCTGAGTACTGCTTTTTTTATTATCAATTTTTACTAGAGAAGATGTAAGTTGGAATCCATAAGCAGACTTCCTACAAGATATCATATCCATGAATGAAGTTAAAGCTGGTAAGCTCAAAATTGATAATATTAAAAACAGATAAGGCACCTGAGCTAGATGACATTTATCCTAAGGTAATGAAAACAAAGGATCCAAATCATGGATCATTAATTTTCATTTTTATTGAATCCATTAATAATGGTGAGGTGGTGGAAGACTAGAGAGTAGCCAGTGTCACACTAATTTTTAAGGATACAAATGAAGACAGACATAATTATGACATATGGACAAAAGGGACCATTTGGTCCTTGAAGGTTGTTTTTGCACATACACCATTGAGAAAAGAAGCAACAGGAATATTTAAATTGAGTGTGATGGATCTGGGTTGAAATCACTGGGTTACTTAATGTACATTAAAGATTAGCACATAGGAAAATGTTTGGATATATTTTTTAAGTGTTTTGACTGATATTTTTTGTGCATGCTTGTATGAAATACCCAACCAGTTTAGTACCCTTTCCAAAATCTTAGTTTTTTTAATGAATTTTGGTATGTTACATCAGTTTACAAAAAGATCAGCTTTTGTTAAATTGCCAATTACATCTGAAAGTTAAAAAAACAACAACTAGCTTTTAAGATCCAAATTTTTGTGAGGTAAATTTCTACATGAAAGCACAAATCAAAATGTTTTAATGTAATCAGTAATAAAGTATTGTATGAAATGCTAACTAAAATAAAATGAAATGTCAAAATAACACTGAATTGAGAACATTCATAGTTTATATATGGAAAACTTAAATGTTTTTTATAATGAACTACAGGCACATATAGGAAAAGTTGTCTAATTGAATCTATAAATCCTTTATAAGTATTTTAACTGGTTGTTTTGAAATGCTAACATAAACTAAGCTTTTTTGTGAGGTTATCAAATTACTTAGATTGTAAAATGTAAACATTGAAGTATCAAAGATTGATATTATAAGTTTTTCATGAGATACTAACAAAAGTGAATGGGGATCAATTGAGAAAAACATCACTATAAATCAGTGTGAGTGTGGAGGGGAGGGAGTATGTAACAAAGTAGGTGGATGGTTGTCTGCTTGGGCCATGAAATTGTAGTGGTTCAGTAGAGCTTTGGCCTGAGACTCATCAGAAAACTATTTAGAATATATTGCTTTTCACTTATTTTAGATCATTATTACAATAATTGATAAGATTACTATGTCAGATTTTTCTTTTCTTTTTTTTATTCTAAGGGCAATATAACATTAGAAATACACAGAAATATATCAAGGATGCTAAAAGTGAATAGGAATTGATGGAGGTATATGTGACCAGCACTTTTGTACAACATATCATACTGTACAATACATCATAAACAATAGCCACACTAGATTATATGTGGTTGTGCAACACTACAAAAAGACTAGCAGAAACATCACTTCTCGAACTAGTTAACTTAAGAGAACATGACTCACCAATATACACTACCTGTAACCCCTGCTTTTTCACTTAAGAATAGAAGTATAGGCCATTGTATATAGTACTAGCTTTAATTTTTTTGGTTTACCAGAAACCATTTTTGTGTGTGTGTGTGTGTATGTATAATTTTTTTGCAGTTTGCATATGTGAGATCTTTTTATTGACTCAGGATTAGAAATGATCAACCCGTTTTCTGTTACACTGTATAATTGACATAGTTTTATATTTTAATATATTAGAAGTTTTGTTTTATTTCATAGTAATTGGTTTATCTTTACATACTGGCTGAATCCTTGTAGTATAACACTCAGTAATAGCATTTGAGTCATTAATGAGGTAATGGACGTTATTTGATTGGATACTAAGTATCCAGTCAAGTGGCCGAATAAATGTAAATTTGGCTGTTGAATAGTTGATATTTACAGTTTTATTAGTTCCACAAGACAGTGGGGCATGTAACCAGAATTTTTTTTAAAGGGTAGACAAATTGCAGGCTGAATGATATGCTAACTAAACATAATATGATTTTATTTGAATACCCATACTGTAGTTGATTCTGTTTAGTGTCTACGACTGCCAATAATATATCTTTCTAGAAATGAAAGAATTGTGTAGTATGAAAATAAGCATGTTCAGAACTAACAATTTGTAAGGATCTTTGAAGTTTATTGGATCCAATATTGAATGGAAGAGTGTAATGTCAAGTGCTGGGGTGTTAAACAAACAAGAAATCATTCAGGAGTGTTACCTAGAACAAATAACCATGTTACATTGATGATAATCATGGCAGAGTTACACAGTGCAATTGATGAAATCATTATTGGATAATCAATTAAACTAAAATGTTACTAATAACAGGTTTGTTCACGTGAAAAAGTCATAACCTCTATGAATTAACCAGAGAAAACTCGTTGAAAATATTAAGGAAGAAATAAACTAATTTGTTATCATTACATGGACTGGATTTGAATTTGTTTTACCAAATAATCCAAAGGAACCCACCCAATGTTCGAACATGTTGCAACAATATACTCAGTTACAACACAAATACCTTATATACTCACAAGTAGGTTTCTGGCTCAGAAGTACATGTAATACTTGTATGTTACCCACTGACAATAATTGTTAACTAAACAAATGATACATATACAATACACCATGGTTTTAAAATTGTGTACAAGTTACTTTGATAATTAATGTTGAAAAATATATTTTAACTGTGTAGCATGCCTTTTACATTACAGTAGTTTAACATCATAAATTACACATTTTGTTTTTATAATCTTAGAGAAGTAATTTTTTAGCGTTTGCATGTTTGTTATGCCTTTATGAAATCTTTAATATTCTATTAGTAATGTTAATCAAAATGGAAGTTTTATTCAAGATTTGGAATGTTTAGAAAAAAGGACTTCCACCTATATCTATCTATCTTTTACAGATGTACATTATATTGGCTGATAAGATAACTCAGGTTCAAATCCAACCATAAATCTATTGTAAGCAATGTACATGTATTGTTATTGATGAGGTACACACACAGATATGAGTAATATGAATTTGGCATCTCGACACAAGGAACTTTAGATATATATATATATATATGTGTGTGTGTGTGTGTGTGTGTGTGTATATATATATATAGATGGAAAGATTGTTGGTATTTCTCCCACTTGTTCATGTACATGTAACTTATTTTGAATGACCTCTGCAGTTTGATATGTATTAAAAAAGAATTACCACTGAAGTGCTCTACAGATGTAGTTCATTAGGAGCTTGTATTTTTTGGCTTGGAAATATTTTATTTAATATTGATGCATTTTTATTTATATGAAACTGGTATCTATTGAATTCTTGAATTATAACACACATTATTGCACAAAGTTAGTTCTAAATATTAACTTGGATTGCTTTAGAATCTTGTCACCTACACTGTGTGTAAACCATGAAATTAGTTAAGTGAAGCTGGAACTTACTTTATTTCCAATCTGATAATCCAAGTTGGTCAACACGATGTATTTGAGTCCTGTTATGTCTCTGTTTACATGCATTTAAATTATGAAATAAATGCACATTTGGAAGAAAGGTACTTGAGGAACAGGCAAAAAACATTAATTTTTACATATCCAGAATGAAACTATTGCTCTTGTTACTTTGTGCATTCTGATGCTGATTCAGTTTACACATAGTTTACATGTTACACAAATGATGTACATATCACTCAACTATGCATATTTTGAAATTTGGTGTATTATTAAAAAATCTTGATCCTGTATTCTTATTGATAGAGATTAAAATATAAGTTTATAGTTACAATGAGCTGAGTAATAATGAGTCAAAAAGATTGTTCTATAACTGCTTTTCAGTGTAAGTGATTGACTGGTTTCTATAACTTATCTTACAGGAGATGACCATGGTTCCTTAATATTCCCATCATTGTGTGATTTAGATTGAACATATTCTCAAGTGTAGTGCAACTAGGGCTACAGAGCAGTTGTCCTCAATATTCATTGTGTTATAAAAATTTGTTCTGTTTATTTTCTTGTGTGGATATTCTCTCTTTGAAGGCCAAACTATGAAAATGGTGTTATCTCAGCGACAACGGGAAGAATTGTGAGTATAATCTGAAATCGTATATTCATAGTGTTTGATCTAAAAGTGACAAAACAGAAGTACATGTATCCCAGATCTGCAATTAGTTATTTTTCTGGAAATTTTGAAAATTCATCTGATATTAAGCTTAATTTCTTGTCTCTCTTTGCAGTATAAATCTGTGACTACTCAAAATTCAGAAATATTTTGTGCATTCCAATCATTAAATGTAAGAGTTAAACCTTAATAGTTTTTTGAAGTATTGTCTTAAAAACTATTTTGAAAGTTAACTTTTAAATTTGTTGTTATAATATTTTAGACATATAGGAGTTATTACTGGAATTTCATCATTAAAATATGAGTATAAACAATAATACACAGTAAAAGAAACTAATCTTCACATTCAACATGTTTTGTATGATAATTCTTCAACCATTTCCTGATGACTACCCTGAGATGGGGTCGAAAGCTTATTGAATAAAAAAGTTTTTAATGTGAAGATTAACCCATTTTATTTTGTATTGGTTAATATCTAGAGGCTATTAATAAAAATATTTTTACCATGATATGGTTATGTTATTATCAGAATAGCACACAATAATTACAAGTGGGTGGGTAAACTGCATTATTGTATTGTGTTCCAAAATGGCATTAAAGTAATGCTACACATATAAAGAACATGTTTTGTATCATGATACAACAGACTACTGTTGTTTTACATGCATATACTCCAGTTAGAATACCAGTAAGGTGCAATAATTTTTTATTTTAATGATTACTTAAATTTACTAGTAAAAATTGTAGTAGTAGTTTCTTTCCAAGCTTCTTGTGCTTAGTGTCTACTCTTTACTCTTTAACCTGGACTAGTCTTTTTCAGATTGTTACTTTTCAGGTTACTTTGTCAGTAGTGGATATTCATTATGGCAGGAGTGTTTACCATACCTTTAACCAAAGAATTGCCTTTATATTTCTTGTGGATCATACAGAATGTCATCCAGGTGTGGGAATGGATATCTTTAGTCATTCACATGGAAGTTAAAAGATTCCATACTTCTTATTCATTCAACTTCAAGGACATTCTTCACCTTGCATTCTGGCTTTTACAAAAAGCCATTGGAATCTTCTGAACTTGTGACCTCCAATGACTATTCTTCAGTGCTTTTTAGCAGACTATTGATAACTGTTCAAGATGCCCCTTGGATGTGTGGGTATTTCTTCCCCCTTCTTTCTGGTACTCTTGTGATTGTGACTGGATCACTGTCAAATCATTTTGGTTTTTCTTTCTTTTATGTAAGTTCATCTCTCATAGGTCCTCTCACCACCTGTTGTATGGTTTTTGACATTCACTGCATCTGTCTTCTGTCCTAGGCCTAATCATTGGCAATTATCTGTTACCTGAATTGTTGAAAGAGAAGAAAACTTCTCTTCAAGATTAAATGGAATTAATATTCTCCAACAACTCACCGCACTCCTTATGTCAGTAGCAGAGAAGCAGAAACTACTTAATCTGGTTTCTAGCCTTTAATCCTTTACTGTGGTATGTACTTTTCTTTCTTTCAGACATGCCTTGTGTCTGCATTCTCAAATCTTGTTTTGATCATAGAGCAGTATAAATTTCACAACTCTTTGTGCCTTTGTACATTACATTCAAAGAGAAGAAAAATAATTATACAATGTATTTGTATGCTACTTATATGTGTTCACAAATGCTATTTAGCAAAATACAGTACATGTATGTTAATATTCATATTCCTAAATTTGTTTTCTGTCTGATATGTAGCCAGGGACATTTATCACAACACAAAATAAAGTAGATTTAAATCATTATTGTGAACTTCACCTATAATGTAGAACTACAGGTGTTACATGGATGTGCATATACACATTTTCATATGTGAGAATTTTCTGTTTCATTTTTTCCTATGTTACTCTGTCATTATAAAGTTCCTGTTAAGTACCTTAACCTTTGTATGATAAAAATGTAAATTGAAATGGCATGGAATGAAAAAAAAATAATGTTATTTGGGGTGAGAAGGATACCCCTTTTTAATTTTTCCTTGGTTCATCTTTTTTTTTTCTAACATAATTTATTTCTATATATAAAGAAAGGTGCAAAGGATGGGTGGAAATTTTTTTACCAATTCTTTTTTATCTAAGACTTGGACAACTCAGGAGAGTGGTAGGGTGTTTCCCCTGTTTCTAACCCCTTCTCTTTCTTTGACAGATGCTTTGCATTGTTATCTTGCTTGTACTGAGCATTTCTTCTAAGATTGCATTTGCATTTTTATACAGTGGACTTCAAGCTTATAATAAAACTGTCCTGTCACTCTTACTCTTTGGATAGAATCCTTTATTTGCCCAAATTTGTGGGGGTTCTTTCTGGTGAGTTGCATTATGTTTTTTGGGTTATTTTTTCATCAGTTGCATCACTTGGTAATGTCTGTAGCAGCAGCTTCCTTTAAATAATATTGTTAAGGCTGGTATTTATAAGTTTCTGAGTATCCTCATGTCATCATACTTACAGCATGTTACTGTTTCATCAGTTATCCACATGACAGTCAAACCCATTCCATACAAATAGCACCTGTCTGGTGCTTTCATGATATCTGGTTAGTTATTTTGAAGACAACATGGTTGAAGCTGTCCAGTGGTGTGTGCTCTCTTTCCCCACTAGAATTTGATGTTATATCCTGATTTCTTACAGAGGATTTATTGACTATCTTTATTCAATGTAAACATTATACTACATATTTATTTAGAGGCATTTGAAATATGTATTTTTATCAGTCAAACTGAATTTGTATAAGGTCTTATCTCTAGATGGTTTTAATTCTATCTTTCCCTTTCCTACCCTTGTCTGGACCTTTCTGAAAGTATTACCTCTGCAGCCACACAGAGACACAAGTGGGGTTGCTGATTGATTGCTCATAATCTATGAGAACTCTTATCAAGAGTAATGGCACAAGAAGCAAGGTGGGAAACACCTGATCAAGAATCATTTAATGAATTAACCATACACTATGTTTTTAGAGGCAAATCATAAATTGAATTTATATTAATAATGAAAATGTAGATTTTAGTCAGTTGAGTTGTAAAATAATACAAAACAAAATGTATAAAATTTTAATTGCCCATTTTCTTTTTATGCTTCTTTGCTTTTAATTTATTAATTTGGTAAAGTAGGTAATTGATATTAACTCCTAACTACATGTACTTATTGCTAGTCCTTGAGCTGATTTTAAGAGTATTAAATGACACCTTTCCCCCAAAAAAAATAAACTAAAAGTGGAAAATTATGAGGTTTTAACTTTTGGAAACCTATGTGCACAGTTGGACTTTTTGTTATATTCTCTGATAGTTACCTGTTACAATTATTTGTTACAACATGCAGCACTTCTGTGGTCAGATATTTCAAATAAAAGTTACTGGAAATGTGTAGTTTAGATAAGTGGACAAAATATGCTAAAGAGTGTTTATGTCCAAAAGTAAAACTTATTGTGAAATGTAATAAATATAGGACTTTGCCATGTATACTGCAACTAAAGGTCAATACTCTGGCAATAATGGGTGTGGTTTGGTGCTGTAACATCTACATGGCTCTTGCTGTTTACGTCATCATGTCTCATTTTACACACATTATACATTTTGAAGTTCCTGTATTGTATTAATGAGTGTTTTTCTTTTATAAACTAGTAAAACTAATTATTTATGAAAAAATAAAATAAAGTGAGAGAAATTATATTTAATTTGAATGAATATTTTTTTGTAAAGATCTAATGTGGAACTAGATATTGGCCATCTTGTGTTTTTTCTCAAACAGTCTTTTGATATTAATCAGCAGCAAAGTTCTTAAATGGTTTAACTTATGTGATTTCATGACTTTGTGATTTTTACAAATGTATTTAATTCTGATACATACTTCACAGTTTCCAATTGAATAACTAAAAATGACATGATTGAATTTTCATTGTTATATTGACTTACTATACTAGAATTTTTAATTGTTTTAATATAAAAGCTTAGATTGACTCTCACACTACACATCATATGTAACACTGTATTTTGGCACATTTAGAATCATTCACTGATTTTTTTAAATAAGAAGAGTTTAATAGCAAAATAGCCTTAAGAAATAAGAACAGTATTTTCCTTGCTAGTAGATATATTGAATAAATTCTTTCATTCTTTCCCTTTCTTAAGTACATGTTCCCATCTAAAACAGTGTTGTAGTAGTTTAAAACATTTTGTACAAATACAAAGAAAGGGTATTCCCCTTCAGAGTTTACCAATTTCATGTGTGTAAAGGAATATTAAAATGTGTCTTTTTGTTTTTATCGTGTATCTAAAAATGAACCTATGTAGTGAAAGAGGTATAATTAAATCTAAAGTAAGGATATTTAGAACTGCAAGACAAGAATGTTGAATTAGTGTACTAAAGGGAGTAAACATTCACTAATCTGTTGCCCAGAACTACCTAATTTTCAGTTTCATCTACTGTGAATTCCATATATACTAGCCCTGAGACAAGTGTGATTCTCTTTGTATGAAATTTGCTCATGTATGTAAAATCAATCTCTGTATTTAATTTTTGAAATTTACAAAACTGCTACATTATATTTTTTCTTTGAAATCATTTAATACCTACTGTTACTGAAATTGTGAGGTTAGTAGCTTATTTGTCGATAGGCTAATCTTAAGCCTGATATAGACTTATGTATGGCTCATTTACTTACTTGTAAATTAAAGGCACGTTTTTAAATATAAACTCAATCCAAACAAACATTGTCATCAAAATAAATATATAACAAATTTGTTATACGCAATACATATCCAACACTATAAGTTACGCATATTTTTAAATACAAACTTAATCTAAATAACATTCATATTAAAAATAAATACTTGACAACAAATTCATTACACTGGTATCTATCTCTAACTTCTATTTCAATGTTATTTGGATATGGAATACAGTTGTACTTAACACTTTAAACCAATGGTTTTCAATTTTTTTGACTCGG